GATAGCCTTCAGAGCATGGGGCAAATTACATAGACAAAAAATATTGTGGATTTATGCCTCAAAATTATGACTTGTGGAAATAGCAGCCTATAATTTCTTCCCTATAATCTCCCTTCTCGTGTTTTATATTGTCTGAACTAGTATGTCCTGAGCAAGCAGTTCACCCCAACTCAAAGTCCATGGTGTTGGTGGTCATTTGCTTTTATCTCCAGGGATGTCTCCATGACTGGACAGTGAACTCTCAGAGACAATGACTTCTTTTCAATTTTTCTACCTACACAGTGTCTTTTAAATAGCACAGGAAGAGCTCTTAGAATCCAGCTGGAACAAAAAATTTCCATTCAACAGACAAGAAAGTTGAGGTCCAGGAGAGCTGACTGGCTGGTTAACTAATTCCATATGGTCTCTTTCCAAGCTCAGTGTTCTTGCCACTATATCACACTGACTCAATCAAAAGTACAGGTTCCCTGTTACCACTGCCTAATACAGGGAGAGAGCAATAAAGTCTATCAGGTGCTCTGTTACTGATGACAGCTATGTACCAAAGTCTGCAAATTATATGTACATATGAATATAATTAAGAATATATGTTCATATATTATATATATATATATATATCATAAACATTTATATAAAATATAACAATATTGTTAGGTACTATTGAGTCATTTTCAACACACAGCAACCCCATGTTATAGAATGATCCTGCCTCATAGGGTTTGCTTGACTACAATCTTTATGGCAGCAGATCATCAGGTCTTTTTCCCTCAGAACCACTGGGTGAGTTCAAATCTCCAGTCTTTTGGTTTGCAAACAAGCAGCATCACCAGGACTCCTTTTGTGTATATGTATGTGTGTATGTGCATACACATACATACATATGTGTTTATATATATATATATATACACACACACACACACACATACACACATATAAATATATCAATGTAGTATATACTTTATTAGGACATACAGTTGAGTAAAAACAGCAAGTTGTGGAACAATAATCAAAATACCATTGTCATTGAGTTGATTCCAACTCATTGCAATCCCACAGGACAGAGTAGAATTGTCTCATAGGGTTTCCAAGGCTGTAGTCCTTATGGGAGCAGACTGACAAGTCTTTTCTCCTGTGAAGCCGCTGGTGCATCTGAATCATCAACCTTTTAGTTCACAGCCAAATACTTAACTACTGTGCCACCAGAGCTCTTTTGTGGAATATGCACACTGTAATCTCATTTCTGCTTCTGCCCCCAATAAAATTAGCAGCTTCTATGTCACCTTCTGGTGACTGTGTCTATGCCTATACATCTATATATGTGTTCTCACACGTACAGAAAAAGTCCAGGGTATGACCACCCAGCTGTGAACAGTAGATTCTCCTTTGTGTTGACTTTCATTTGTTTTGACTTTATTACATGTTTTGTAATGAGCATGCATTGCTTTTGCAATTAAAACATGATTAGTGAGAAATGAGAGCTGCCATCTACTAAGAATGGGATACAAACTAGGCATTGTACTAGGCGCTTTACATCCTCCCAGTGACCATCTTTATAACCCAGACAAGGAAACTGAAGCTTGAAGAAGACACACAGCTAAAGTAGCAGAGCCAGAATCTGAACCCAGGACCATCTGACACAAAAGCCATTGCTCAGATTACCTCACTGATGTCACTCAACAGTGGCATTTATGTTTCATGAGAATGCCAATCATTCATTGCAAGTTGCCTCACAGAAAAAAAAAAAAAAAGACTGCTGGCTGGGCAGCCGTACTATGGAACCAAGACTCTTGGGTGTGTGCCCTGCCAGAGGAGCTGAAGCTCAGTTTGCTGCGTGCCTCTCTCCTGGCCCATCCTCTGTGCTTCTCAGTCCTCACCATTCTTGGCAATCTCTCCATGTGTGAATTCCATTAAAGGCCTGCTCACTGCTATTCTGGGCTGTGCATTAGCACATGGAGTTTGATTTGATGGGGAGAAGGCCAGACACCTCAGGATGATGAAAGAGAAATTAGAGATATCCTCTCCCTCCCCTCACAGCTTCCCAGAAGCCCTCGCCTACAGCTTCTGGGAGGCCTGAGAATCAGAAGAGAAGCAGGACCTTCATAATTAGGAAGGTTTTATTAAGGCCTTTATACTCGGATTTTCCCTCTCCTTACAATTGTCACCTCTCAAGTGCCCACATGGCTCACTCCCTCACCTCCTTCAGGTCTCAACTCAAACATAAATGCACAACCAAGGCCTTCCCTGACCACCTTTCAGATACATCATCTCTCTCCCCACCCTCTGTTACTCCTTTGTTTTCTTTGCAGCCTTTGTCACCTGATATACCACAGCCCCTTGTTTATTTACCATCTTCACATCCCCATTCTAAAGTAGAAGCTCCTTAGAGGCAGAGTTGTTTTATTTGCAGCTCTATCCCCAGTTCCTATACTGGTGGCTGGATGCTACAGATGCATAGTACTATAGATGATAAACTGAATGAATTAATTCAGGAGAAAAGAACCAGAGCCTGAGAAATCACTTAGCACTGGGCCTGGTTTCCCCCGCCAAGTATCATGGGATTACAAAAACTTGAACACAGCAATCTGAACACTCAGAAAAGTGTTTCCCCTCCCCCCACTGTTTGGAATCTGGACTGGCACGTACCATGAATGAGAAGGCTTTGGGAAATAAACACACTAGGAAGTCGTGTGCAGTTGGAGTTCCGCTTGCTAACACATGTTCAAAAACCAAAAAAGCCCAATTTGGATGAAAATAGGAGGAAGCTGGCCCCCAGGGATACCTGATGAGGTCATATTGCTTGGCTCTGCTGCTTCCATTTTTATCAAGTCTCCCGCCTTCTGACAACTCAGGGAGGCCAAGAATCACTTCCAGCCCCGTGCTGCTCACGGGCACACAGCAGCAGACAATAGAATCACATCCACAGGCTCTCCTCTGGACCCTCCACAAGGGCACATAAAAATCACAACAGTGGTAGACCACTCACTGTGAGCTCTCTAAGCCCTTTGTGCATATGACCTCACTCAAGCCTCACAACCACTCCAAGAGGCTGGCATTACTCTCACTTTATAGACAAGGATGATGGAATTCCAAAAGATTTTGCAATCTGCTCAAGGTCACACAGCTAGTAAATGGGACTCCTGTGACTCCTGATCAAGGCCAGGAATACAAATGATTCTAGTCCCCCCTCTCTTAACAGGCTTGTTGTGTGACCTTAAACTACCTGCTGTCAAGTCAATTCTGACCTCGTGTGTCAGAGTAGAACTATGTTCCATAGGGTTTTCACTGGCTGATTTTTAAAGTAGGTCAACAGGCCTTTCTTGCAAAGCACCTGAGTGGACTCAACTCTCCAAACTTTTGGTTAGCAGCTAAACATGTCAACTGTTTGCACCCCACAGGATCTCTGTGTAACCTTAGACAAATCCCTACCCCTCTCTGAGTCAAAGTTCCTCTATATGAGAGATGCAGCCAATGCTTTCTAAGGTGGTTTCCTGCTCTAACTTCTTATGATCTTTTGCAAAGATTTTAAGCAGGACAGAAGGATGGGAACTCAAGTCCTGAGAGCCCTGCTAGGCCAGCCTAATACCTACAGGATTTGCCCACAATATCAACACCATCACCAAGGAAGCTTAAGGGTCATTTGTCCCACAGTAGGCAGCAGGACAGACAAGACTCATGTGGCCATAGGCAACACACAGGCTAGAGCTAGAGGGCTGGGGCCAGAAGAAACTGAAAGTAGTCCTAGGAGACTGTGAAGAACAGATTGCGTAAGGACCAAATGAAGGCAGCCCCAGGAGAAATCCTGAGGGAGAAAAGCCTATGCCATGTGGGGATACAGCTGGTAGGTGTGTTCCAGGAAAGTGGCAGAAAAGGAACATAGTCCTAGACTTGCTTTACTCTGAGGAGCAGAGTAGAGATGACTGTGATTCCTATCTTGCTGGCAGCCACATATCTGAGGCAGAGGAAAGACACAGATGAAGTCCATTATTACATATGCTTCTTGATTTGCCCTCTTACCACACTTCAGACACCACTCATCCTCCTTTCCAAGTGTCTGAAAAGCCCAAATTTGGAGTAATTTATATCTTCCCTTCCCACTCCAGCCAAGCAGCCATTCCTGTCCTTCTGGATATGGAAAGGTCCTTATCCATCCTTTTCTTGGCAGTGATGCTTTCGATTACTCATCTGCTTCCAAGGGATCTGGAGGCTGCCAAGAGGAGATGGGTGGCTCTCCAAGCCATGCAGCCTTAACTGCAATGTCTGTGCAGCCAAGTGAAATGTGAGACCACTGATGGGGAAATACCAAAGGACTTCAGAGTCCCCCAGGCCAAGGAAGGAGAGCTCTTCAGTGGCCCAACAGATTGAGAATGGCTGCAGAACAGGCATTATGTCTAGACACCTGCTCAATAACATGAATCAAGGTACAATGGTGTCTGATGGCAAATCAATGTGGGAATATGTCTAAGCCAGGCTTCCACCCAAGATAAACGAGGTTAGGAAGATGGAGGAACCAGGCCTGGGACCTCAGGAGACTGCTGACGATGCCCTTCCTGATAGATTCTCCAACTTAGCTGACCTAGGACAGATGGAGCAGCCAGGGTCTAAGGCTCTAAATCCCTACACATTCCGCCTGGCTTCTCTGCTCTGGGCTGTTTGCTCCTAATCTCCTTCACTTCCTGCCATGTGTGCTGGGTTGGGGTAGTAAAACAGTTGCCTAAGTCCCCTGGTCCATCCCCTCCCTTAATTTCACACATACACAGCCCTGTGTGCCTGCATGGAGCTCTAAGAGGCTCTGGAAATATAAACTTGTGAATGTCAAGAAGTGATTTCACAGCAAGCCAAGAGACTGTGTTTTTGAAAGATGCCCCTCCAAAAAAACCCCCAAAGATTGAGAGCTTGGGATCACTCTGCTTAACAGCTTCCTTCCAAAACAGTGACACCTGCGTCCAGCATTTGACATGAGGCTAATTGTTTCATTTTACAAGAAGGAGGAGTCCACTTACTCATTCTTCTCCAGGTCCAGGATCAGTTCTCTCCCCTCCACCATTACCCTGAGCTCGGCTTTGAGTGGATGCTAGAAGTAACAATAAAAGAATGTCAGTTTCTATAAAGCAGGGTGAAGGCTCACAGGGGTCAGCACAGGTCGTAGCACAGTGCTCTGACACTGGTCCACAGGAAACGGATGAGAAAGGGTCAGTTGCATTTCCAACCCAAACATGAAATGACCTCAATTCAGACAGCCAAGTCCCCTCCCCCATCTGCCCTCTTCCTGAAAGACAAAGGAAAGATGAAATGCAGTATGAGTGTCCATATACAGGTCTGGTAAAGGGTAACACTGGAACACATGTTCTTAAACAGTACATGTTCTGTGTAGTCAAAGAGATCTGAACTCAAGTACTGGCTTTGACACTTGTTGCTGTATGTACCTGGGCAAGTTACTGACCCTCCCCTACATGAGTTTCCTCATTTATAAAATAGAGATAATGATAACAGTCACCTTTATGGGATCATGTGAGAATTGAGTGGATAATGCACGTAAAGAATTTATCTCCATGCCTGGTACACAGAAAGCCTTCAATACATGTTAGCTATCATCTTATAAAATCCAGGGGCATGCCTCTTCATAGTGGTTTCATTTTATTTTATCCTTCAATTTAAATACCCTCAATCATCTCAGATCAAGCTATTAAGCGCATCTCAAATTAAGGGTTCATATGTCTAAAAGAAGATACATTTTAGATATAGGAAAAGATTTGCTGATGGCCAAAGTTGCTACACACTCCAAATAGATCATTTAAGATATCACAAAAATGGCTAATAAGCATGAAAAGCATGTTTAACATCCTGGCAACCAACCCTGTCTCCCTCACAATTTTTTTTAAAGATACCAGTGAAAAATAAAAATAAAAATGACAAAGCTTTTATAAAAACCCATCAACCACAATGCAGTAGAGCATCATATAAAATGGACACTCCCACATTCTACTAGGAAGAGTTTAAATGAATACAAACTCTTGGGAAAATAATTTAGTAGTAGGACCAAGGGTTTTAAAATATTCATACCTTTGACCCAGTAACATAAGACTGAAGGAAACAAGCAGAAGCTCAGGCAAAGGTTTGTACACAAGGGTGCTCATTATTTATAGTAATGAAAACTTGGAAACAATCTAAATGTTCAAAAATAGGAGAATGTTTAAATAAATAATGATCCATCCATATGACAGAACTTTAGGTTCTCATTAAAAATGGTGACTTTAAATAAGGTTTAAATTGCTGAGAAAATGTGCATAGTAAATATTAAGCACAAAGTCTCACAATACAATATTGTATATTTTATATAAATATACTTTTGTAAAGGGAAAAAAGTAGAAAAAATAAACTGAAATGTTACCATAGTCATCTCTAAGCAGTGAGATTGTGAGTTAAATTTATTTTCTTTTGTGTATCTTTGCATATTTTGATATTGCTTATATATTTTAAGAAATGGACTTTTAAAGTCTATTTTTACCTGTTTGTTGTAAAAAAATGCCAAACATATTTAAAAATCAAATATCATGACAAACTTCGATGCTTTAACAATGTCAACTTAGGGCTGTTGACCTTTTTTAAAAGAAAAAATTAAGACTATCACCACTCCTACAAACATACTAAAAACAGGTTAGGTTCTTTGGGGTGTTTTCACTATGAGCTTTCTGACTTGAGATCAAGGAACTGATAAACTCTTTAATTCCCTTTCATCCACAAAAGCTAGCTATTATGAAGTTCCTGCCCTATTTAAGGTTGACCTCAAAGCTTAGTTTTGGCACATCTGAGAAAGTGGGTCATCTACTTGGCTACCTCTGGTTGCACCTGCCTCTTCCAAACACATCCCCTTTCTTACTTGCTGCAACCCTTACTTCCTACCAGGGTTCTAGGCATAACTGAGAATTTCAAGTCACAAGGGCTCTGTTAAGGAGCTCTGGTGGTTCAGTGCCTAAGGCATTTGACTGTTAACCAGAAGGCTGGTGGTTTAAACTCACCAGCCACTCCACAGAAGGAAGACGGGACACTCTACTTCCATAAAGATTTACCACCTCGGAAACCCAATGGGGGTCACTATGAGTCAAAATCCACTCGATAGCAGTGGGTTTGGTTTTTTTGGTTTAAGGGCTGTGTTAAGATCTGAATGTTCCAACCAAGATTTCTTGAACAACAATAGCCCTGTCCATTGCCTAATCCTGTTACTTCATCTTAAGAAGAGACACTTCAAACTGAGGGAGAAGGAAGAAGCAAGGGGAAATGCTTGCCCAATAACTTTCACTAAGGGATCACCTTGCTATTCCCAATGCCTTGATTCATCTCTGCCAGTACCTACTCTGGCTGCTGGTTGTCTGCCATGCCACTCTGGCAGCTCAGGAGCAAGCACTTTCCATCAGGGACACAGACCCAAGTGGGCATCTGAGAAAGAGTACACAGCAATAGAGCTGTGGCAATTCCCTTTGCAAAGAAGTAGGCAGCCATGTGACAGCCCACACTAAAAAAAGAATGTTGACATAAATTAAAGCACTGTCACCTCTCCCCAAAACAGACACAACTGCAACATGAGTACTAACATTTAATTTTAAGTGGGTAATCAAAAATGTATCTCTTTGATCTGGACAGTGATCAGACACTGATATTTAAAATATGATGTCCTTTCTTTCCAGAGGACATTTCAAAGAGAACAATGAAATAGCATTTTAAATATCTATGAAGCTTCCCTGTACAGCTCTCCTGATGAGCTTTTCTCTTACAACACCACTCCATGCTAGGAAGGGGCAGTATCACCTCTCCTAGGAAATGTAGGAAGCTAATGAACTGTTTAGGCTTCCCCATAGGAAAGGCTGGAGCCAGAGACTTATTTAAGGTATGGCATGTGCCCTAGGCACCACCTGAGGAGGGTGCCAATGAGCAGTTTCTATTGGCCATCGTAGCTTCCATATCTGTTATAAGAGATCATTCAGCAATGTAAAACTAATTGCCACATTTTTATTTTCCATAGATATGCCTACCTCTGGCTGGAGCACTGGGTGGTTGGAGTACAGGGTGGGAGCTCATCTGCTAACGCAAAGGTTGGTGGTTCAAGTCCACCCAGAGGCTCCTCAGAAGAAAAGACAGGTGATGTACTTGCAAAAAAATTAGCTACTGAAAATTCTATAAAGCACAGTTTTATTCTTGACACATATGGGGTTGCCATGAATCAGAATCAATTCTATGATAAGTAGTTGTTTGGTTGGGTAGGGAAGAGTTAAAAGTCCTTTCTCTTTAGGGCTAGATTAAATAGATCTTCATCTCCATGTTGTTGTTGTTGTTGTTATGTGCCCTCCTGTCAGACCCAACTCATAGCGACCCTCATTGGGTTTCCGAGGCAATATCACTACGGAAGTAGATTGTCCAACCTTCATTCCAAGGAGTGGCTGGTGAGTTTGAACCACCAGCCTTCTGGTTAGCAGTCAAGTGCCTTAGGCTGGAAATTGGGCCAATACATCTGCATCCCCCTTGAGATCTAGAACAATATTCAGTATACAGTGAGTGTTCAATTAATATTTGGTGCATGAATGAATGAATTACATAAGTGGGAATAAAAGCCCCAAGTGAGACCCATATTCTACTCATACATTCTCCCTCTGACATTCATTCATTTGTTCATTCAACAAATATTTATGGTGCTAGGTACTGTGCTGACTATTCCACAGAATACAATAATGCATATTCTGGGCAGACAATGGATGGGAACAAAGACAGGATCTGGCTTCACTTTGTTTCTCAGGCCCTTCCTGAGGATGCCCAGCAATATCTGGAAGGAACAAAGAAGTCTCTATAAAAAGTATCCATTCCATTTCTTGGGCAATAATGGATAGGTTGAAATATCCAAAATCACTAATTTTTTTTTAAAAAATAATAATCTGCTCTTGGAAGGCCATCCATTAATTTGTCTAGATCTTTCCTGAAGCTATTTTGAGCCTCTCCTACTTTTTGGTGAAATGAGCTCCAAGCATTTATTGTCATTTGGACAAAATGTTACTTTTATTTGTCCTGAAATTTTCACCCTGTTCCCTTAGTAAATCCAAGTTGGAGCATTTTGGGACAGATCTGTATGACTCTAGCTATACTTCAAGACTTTCAGGCTTCTCTCTATTTACTTTTCCTGACTCAAGAGCCACAGTATCTGATATCTGTCCTGACATAGCTCTCTCCTCTCTCCTACAGCAATCTTGCTCCGATGAGCTGTCCAATAAATCACAGACCTTTTGAACCTGAAGCCACCCTCCGCTCCGGCTCTCTTACCCTTTATTCCCTGTAAACCCTGTTTTATAAATGAGGAAATTGAAGTTCAAAAAGAGGAAGGTAAGGAAAAAAAAAAATAGAGGAAGGACACAGAGCTGGTTACTAGTATACAACTATCACATCTTATAGTTCCTCTCCAGCATTTTCATGCATCATTTGAGATGTAGAAACCAGAACCACAAAGAATATCCTAGATGCACAGGTCTGCTCTGCAAGAATAGGATGCTTTCTTCCTTGTTCCCAAAGCCCTTATTAAAGTCTATGCTTTTTGCTGGTATCATGGCCCAAGTAGCCTACTGAATTTTAAAATATATTTCCCAGTATTGGATCCCTATCCTACCTCTTATAAAAAAAAAAAAAAAAAGGATTATCATTGTTATAAGTGCATTACATCATCAATAAAATGAAGCCTTCATTATTCAGGGCAAAATAACAAGTACAATATTTCATCAGTTCCAATTGATAGTAGGTGATTTTGTGACACCATCGCATTTGCATTTAGCTTTTGTAAGCATTAATGGGAATTTTCATTTCCTCAGCTCACAGTATTTGGAAATGCCCTAGAAGTTTGTCACATAAGGAAGTAAAATCCCATGTGGGACTTTCAAAATTGACAGAAAAGATGGAGGAGATGAAAAACAGAATTTCTGGGTTGAGGAGGCATCCAGGAAAGATGAGTTGGTGGCCCCAAGTCTCATAGAATCAAGGCGTCAACTCCTGCCTCCCAAACAGCTGAAAATGAGAGCCTTTGAGTCTTACCTTTTCCCTTATGAGGCTTTCTGTAGTCTTCCACTGAGGTATTATCAGTTCATGCTGTAGCTGCGGGCTGCCTTCCTCACTTCCTCCTGCCAATACAAGAGGCACAGCATTGGAATCCCAGACTGCCACATCCTAACTAAGCTACACATACACTTTCTGTGACAACCACTGCCAAGTGGGAAGGACCCCATATTGGGTCCTTAGAAGACCTGCTAGAATCCAGGATAGACCCTGAATGGCTTGTGGGACCTACTACAGGCCAGGCACTCTTCTAGGTGTTGGAGATACAGTGGTGAACAGGGAATACAAGATCATTGCTCTCAGGAAGTTTATTTTCTAGAGGGGATAATCAACCCATATTCTCAGGTGGTAGTAAGTGCCCTGAAGACAATTAGAGCCATGGAATAAAAAGACACTGAAGGGTGAGGGGTGACTATTTCAGAAAGGATGGTCAGCAAAGATGGCATTTAACTGAAATCCAAGGGACCAGAAGGCGGCAACCATTACAAAGATCTGGGGAAAGAGTACTCCAGGTAGAGGGGCCCACAAGTGCAATGGACTTGACCTGTTGCAGGAACAGATACAATGTCAAGGTAGATGTTGTTAGCTGCCATAGAGTTGGCCCCAACTCATAGCAACCACATGCACAATAGGACAAACACTGCCTGGTCCTGCACCATCCCTGCGATCTGTTGCAGGCTGGATCACTGTGATCCATAGGGTTTTCACTGGCTGATTTTCAGAAGTAGATCTCCAGGCCTTTCTTCCTAGTCAGTCTTAGTCTGGAAGTTCCACTGAAACTGGTTCAGCATCATAGCATAATGCAAGCCTCCACTGATATAGGTGATATCTACATGAGGTGCATTGGCCAGGAATCTGGCTGGGAATCAAACTGGGAATTGAATTGAGTCAACCACATGGAAGGCGAGAGTTCTACCACTGAACAGCTAGAGTCTAATAAGTGAGGGGGAAAGTTAGTAGGAAATGTGGTCAGTAATGTAGCCATGGGCCTGATAAAACACAGGGCCTTGTATGCCATTGAAGGAATCTGGATTTTATCATAAATAGACTTGGAAGTGACTGAAGGTTTTAAACACAGAGCAAATTATGTGCTCTGTATAAGGTTTTAAAAGGATCACCCTACCTGGGTGGAGAATGTTGTTGTTGTTGTTACGTGCCGTTGAGTCGCACCCGACTCATAGCGACCCCTCCATGGGTTTCCTAGGCAGTATCACTACAGAAGTAGATTGCCCCATCTTCCTTCCAAGGAGTCAGCCTTCTGGTTAGCAGTCAAGTGCCTTAGGCACTATGCTACCAGAGCTCCAGGGTGGAGAATGACTAACGGTAAAAGCAGAAAGCAGGCTGGAAACTTGCAGACCAGGTGAGAGATGAAAGTGGCACAGACTAGAACAGTAGACAGCAGTGTAAAGGGATAAAGTGATAGAATGTAGGGTATATTTTGGAGGTCAAGCCCATGAGTCATGATCCCACTGAGCTTCTGTTTCATCTGTCAACTGGAGACAATGACATCCCACTGCCCATTCACAGTCTGGTTGGAAGGAGTCAATGTGAAATTGCTTCCTACACCACAAAGTGTCCTTACATTAACTCCAGCTTCATAATGGTGAATTTGCATTAGTATATCATCCCCCAGTTTCCAAATCACTTCAATGGCCCATGTCTGTTTCATCCTCACAACAACCCTGGGAGGTAACTAGTAGGACTCTTATTTTGCAAGAAGGGGAAGTTAAACTCCAAGAGAGACTTGTTTGAAGCAGTACAGACCTCAAACATTGGTTGAAGACCATCTTAAAACTCATTGCCATCAACGTGATTCCAATTCATGATGACCCCATGTGTTGCAGAGCAAAAGTGTTCTCCATAGGGTTCTCTTGGCTATAGTCTTTACAGAAGTAGATCTCCAGGCCTTTTTCTATGACACTGTTGGGTGGGTTTGAACCGCCAACCTTTAAATTAGTAAGCCAAAACCCAACCCACTACCATTGAGCCAATTTCAACTCATAGCGACCCTATGAGACAGAGTAGAACTGTCCCAGAGGGTTTCCAATGCTGTAAATCTTTACAGAAGCAGATTGCCTCATCTTTCTCCCATGGAGCAGCTGGGGATTCAAAGTGCTGACCTTTTGGTTAGCAGCCAATTGCCTTAATCATTGCACCACCAGAGCTTAGGTTAGTGGATGACCACAAACCATTTGTGTCATCCGGGAACCACCCTAATGAAATGGTACTTTCTCAAGACCTAAGCAAATTAGTCTCCAAAAGAATATGTCAAATCCTTCTGAAGTTCAGATCAAAAACTATTTTTGTTCCATCAAACTCCAGGGATGAACCTGGGATAGGTGGCGGGACATGACATTACAAAAAAAAAAAAAAAAATACACTAAATACATAGGACTCCTGGGGATGGAGATGGTGACACAGGATGTACTCTTTCTCAACCATTCACATCAATCATATAGAACATAATGATATAAAAAGATGGTAGTAGTTTTTCTGTTAGAGTGACAAGATTATAACTTTCTTTTGCAACTCCTGATTGGGGCTGTCCTCAATCAGTGTAGAATGGATTAGCATTTATTTCATCAGACTGGTAAAAGTCAGAATCAGTACATCGATTTAGTCACCAAATATTTTCTGAGCACTTGTTGTTATATGCCATAGAGTTGGACCCGACTCAGAATGGCCCCTCCTTGGGTTTCCAAGGTGGTAACACTACAGAAGTAGATTGCCCAGTCTTCCTTCCGAGGAGTGGCTGGTGGGTTTGAACCGCCAGCCTTCTGGTTAGCAGTCAAGTGCTTTAGGCACCATGCTACCAGTGCTCCTTAGCCTTGTATAGCTAGATGTTAACTGTAGATTTCTGTCTGCTGAAGGTGCAAATAACATCAGTATAGTGGAAAGATAATGGAGTCTCGGCTCGAAATTACGTGTCACAAATAGTTCAGCATTTGACTACTAGCTGAAAGGTTGGCAGTTTGAACCCACCCACTGGCAGTTCAAACTCACCCAGAGGGCTTCAGAAGACAGGCCTGGCAATCTTCTGTAGGTCACAACCTTGAAAACCCTATGGAGCAGTTCTATTCTGCACACATGGGGTTGCCCATGCGTTAGTTGACTAGCTAGCAACTATCAACAGTAAGATAACCCAGGAGTTAGGTGTTTTTTGCCCCACTGGACATTGATCACTTTTGTATATGTCTTTGCCATCTGATTTCAGTTCACTCGCCACTGCCTCTATAATCCCTGTTCTGTAAATGCTCCCTTGAACCAGCTTTAACATCCTGCTCCTTGCCTCATTAATAAATCAAATGTCTTTGCCACGTGTTTATTCTATAATTGAATGATAGTCATGTTTTTAACATTTTGAAAATTACACTTCCCAGATTTCTTGATGGAATTTCTAGAACCATTAAAATCATGTTTTTGGAGAATTTAATGATGTGGGAAATGCCCGTAATATGAACTGAAAGATGCAAGACACAAAACAGTACATATGGCATGGTTCCAATTTTATCCATATATATTTATAGGAACACAGACAAAGACTAGATAAGGGAAAAAAAAAAAAACTTTAGCAGCAACTGTAGATTTGGGAATTACTATTTTATTTCTTTTACACTTTTCATTACTTTCCAGATTTTCTACAGCGACTCCACTTCACTGAGCGGTCTCTAAGGGTTTAGAATTCAAAGAAGGCGGCTGGGATCAGGTATTCTCCTTCACCCTTTTCCCCTGGACTAAGTCCAACGAGTCGCTATTAGTTAGAATCAACTCCACAGCACACAACAACAAGCACTAACTCAGGCCTTGTGCTAGGCTCTGGGGAATCATAGACAAATAAAACACGGCTCCCTATCCCTCAAGGACCCCTGGGTCCCCGGGGGGGGGGGAAGAGAGCTTCCACGAACTCTCTGTGAGCGCTCTGTGCCTCAGTTTCTCTTTCGGTACAAGAGCTCAAAGGACCGTGGGATCTGTGAGATGGAGCTCCGGGGCACTGCCTTGTCTCGCCCCTGGCAGTTCAGCAAAATCCCGGCAAGCAGGACAGAGCGCCGGGGTCTAGGGCTGCTAGCGGGTCGTGACCACCCGGTCCCGTGCGCTCCGCCCTGCCGGAGCTGGGCCTGCGCTCACTTTAATTTGCTAACGTTGACAGTTGGTCCCACAAGGCAGCGGTCTGGAGTCAGCCTAGCTCGTCTAAGGCAGCGGGGCCAGGGCTGAGTCTTCTTGGGTCGTAATTACAAGAGTTCGGGCATCGCCCCCCGGGACAGTTCCTTCTCTGAAATCGGCCCGGAGGCCCCGAGGGATGGGACCTAGGAGGAGAGAGTCCGGGAAGCTAGTTATGAGAAACACAGGCATCCAAGTTGGATGCAGGGAGTCCAACCCCTTGGCTTCACAGAGGGAATACTGAGGCCCCAAGAACGCAGCCCTCTGATGGAGAGCAAACAAAGTCTCAATTTCCAGTGCCTGCGAGAAGACCAACACGTGGGCAAGTTCTTCTTCCTGGGCCTTAGTCTCCCTGCCGGTAAAATGAGTATGTCAAAAGGGTTCCGCCAGTTACTTAGTGATCCTGAGTCAACAACAGTCAGGGATAACCAGCGAGCTGCCCCAGTAACGGCTCCGCCGCCTCCCAGGAGTAGGTAGGTTCAGTCTGGGGCATTTCCCACGTCAACAGCGTGCGCCTGGCTTGGAGTACGGACCCCCGGACTCCAGCACCCGGCGCCCAGGCAGGTCGCTTGGGATGCTAGAGGTGATGCAGTGGGCAGACCGGTGAGAAGGAACGAGAAAAACAGAGAAGAAAGAGAACAGACAAAGAGTCAGAGAGATTGGGAATGAGATTGAAGAATGACAGCGAGAGATTGAGAGAGAGAGAGGCGGAGTAGAGCTCAGGGACCGTGAGAAAACGGAGGAGACTGGAAGAGCAGCGGAAAATAAGCCAGAGCAGAAAACAGAGGAAAGAGAAAGGAGGAGGCAAACCAGGGAGGGGGTCAGTTGGCTCCTACCTGGAGTTTACCAGACCACCACCACCTCCTCCGCGGATGCACAACGTGGAAACAAAGCCCTGGCTGGGGTCCGCGGGGACGCAGGGGCCGGATCATCAGCACTCGGTGCGCGCAGGGCGGCTCCCAGGTCCTCAGGCCACCCAGCCCACCCGCCTCCATCTCCCCAGTGCCCACCACTTACTTCTCGTCCATCCTGGCGCCCGCGCTGTCCGCGGATGGAGCAGCTGCAGGGCGAGCACCAGCAGGCAAAGCCGGGCAGCGCCTGCGCCCCCGGGCATGGTGGCTGTAGCTCCTCAAGCGCTCCGCGCTCACACTCCCGCGGCCATGCCCGCCCCCCCGGCCTGGCGGCGGCGGCGGCGTCTGGAACCCACCGCTCGCCCTGCGCCTCTCCGCCAGGCTCCCAACCCTCGGCCGCCACGCTCCGCCTCCAGGGCTCCACCAGGGGGTGGAGGAGGGGACTCGCCCGCCGGGAGGGGGCTGGAGGACCAGGGCCGGAGCCTGCGGGACCCCTAGGGAGCAGGGAGGGTTCAGGTATTGGGGAGCGCGGGGGAGGAAAAATCCGAGCCTGAAGAGCGAAAGGCATTCAATGCGGCGCGGCCGAGGGAGGTGTGTGTGTGGGGGGGGGGCGAGGGAAGGTGCTTAGGCTTCTAGGGGTTAAACTGGACCCTTCTCTGCACAGGGGGCAGTTTACTCTGTCCACAGGCTGCCAGACGCCCTTAGGAAACAGAGGACTCATCCAACGCCGTTCCCCAGAGGCCGGCACTCTTGGCGGCAGGGGCCGAAAGAGTTAAAAAAAAAAAAAAAACAGGCACAATGAAGTAAGTGCTATATGGAGCTGATTTCTTAGCAGGACACAAGTCAAGGAGCCATTCCTTCTGCTGGGAGAAGGGGGTGGTGAAGAAGAGGAATCCCAGAGGAGAAGACATTTGAGCTCCGGAGGAGAAATGGAGCACCAGGCCCAGGAAACAGCCTAGACAAATGCTGGGGTGTGAAACCTCATGCACTGTTAAGGGGAAAACTAGAAGTTGGGATGGTTGCAGTTGAAGAAAAGGGAGGGAGATGAGACTAGAAAATAATAATGACTATCACTGCTAACCTCTTCAGAAGGAAGACTGGACAATCTACTTCCATAGAGATACTGCCTTGGAAAGCCAATGAGGGTTCTCTATGAGTCAAGATTGACTGCAGGGCACTGAGTTTTTGTTTTTGTTTTTAAGCACTTATTGAGGGCTTACTATCTGTTAGAAAAAGAAAATAATGACTGCCAAGACAAGTAATGATAGCTAAGACTGATACATCACTTTCTAAGTGATGCTATTCTTAGCATTTTACATATGTTAACTTATTTAATGAATCAAGGAAAATAATACCTTTCATTGGCCTTTAATATGTGTCAATGACACTGTGTACATTATCTCTTTTAATTTGCTCAATAATTACATAGGGTAGGTACTAAATCCTCATTCTAGAAATGACCAAACCAAAGCTGAGTGACGTGAAGTGATTTGACCAAAGTTGCACAAAGTCTGGCTTCAAACCCACATCTTTGTAACTGAAGAGCCTGGTCCAGCAGGCTTAGTTATATAAATGAACAAACTGCTAATCAGAGAGAAGTGACTTGCAAGAAGTGATCCCTTAGAAAGTTTTGAGAAAACCTAGTTTTGGAATGCGAGCATCCAGACCTCTTGTCATCTGTTCCTTTCACTGAACCTCCTTCTTCAAACCCAAGTTAACCCAACTAAACAAGATGTTGCATTGGGAGGCCAAGGCACTCCTGAAGATGAAGGGTGGGCCTATCAAAACCCTTAGGCACTCATAGGGGAAATAAAAGATGCAGTTCTTGCCATTGGTGTTTAACGACTATAACCTGGAACCTAATCATGAAATTAAAACTCTGCTCCCAGCTCTCTTTCCAATTAGTTCTGTGACCTTGGGTAAGTCATTTGGTTCATTTCTCTTAGTTTCAGATGAATGAACCGGGAATGATAATGGCTACTCCAATCCATCTCATCCAGGATCTGTGAGGAGCTGTTGAGATAATGGCAGTGAAAGTGCTGTGCCAAGTAGAATTGCTGAGGTTCTACATCTAACTCACTGTACGAGCAGATCTACTTGGAAAAGGCATGCATACAAACTCCGTAACTGAGATTTGTTTCCATTTGCAGGCATGCTGTTGATCAATATTTAAACAGCATGTAGCTCCAAATCAGGAGTAGTTCAGAAGAGAAAAAGTTTAGTGGTTAAAACACTGATGAAAGAGTCAAAAAGTCGCCAAAACTTGTCTCCTCCCCCCATGCCCCCTTCCATCTACACTTATACACAAGAACAAACATATACACAACTTTTGACCCCCTGGAAGCCATTCCATTTATTTGTGAAGAGTATATTTGTTATTTGTAAGGAATACTGCATCTCTACATAATCTTTTAAAAAATTTATGACATTTAACCGAACAATTACATTTCTGGGAAACTGTCCTAAAAAAATAATCTGTAATACACTCAAAGATCTATGGACTAGGATGTTCACAGTGGTGTTATTTATAATAGTGAAATATTAGAAACAATTTAAATATCCAACTGTGAAAGAGTAGTTAATAAAATATAGAGTAGCCACATGATGGATTATTATACAGCCACCTAAAATGATACTTGCAGTTGCATGTGGGGAATTGCAGTCAACGTCATGAAACAAAATGCGTATTAACTGTGGTATAGAAAATGAATTTGCTCTGTAAACTTACACTCAAATCACGTAAAAATGATAATTAAAAAAGGAATTAAGTTTGTCTTAAACAAATAAAAGGATATTTGCAGCTGAGGAGGTTTTCGTACTGTTCCTCCCCCTGCCTTGGGTCTGCTGCACCCCACAATCCAGCAGCTGCACTCCTTTTTCCAAGCCAGAGAAGGTGGACTTCGTGACCCATCCTGGGTCCTGGGTCCATCCAAGCAGGTAACTTAAAATACTCAGAAGCTTTCATAAAACATCTGCAGATCATTCCTGTACAAGCCTAATTGCATCAGACAGATGGCGACTGGTCCAGTTATTGCACCAGGGCCTGTGCTCCGTCTTACCCGTGAGACCAAGAGGATCGTTGCTCTGCCTTCTGTTGACAGACATCGGCTTGCCCTGGCAATGTTATACTCTCCAGAAATGAGGCGTAAATTAACTGTTAGAACCCTGTGCATGACTGTCTTAGCTGCTATTTTCCCAACCTTTAAAGGTCCTATCATCAAGGTCACACCTATCATTACTGGGCAACAGTCACTTGGCAACTGCAGATATATGGAACCCCTCTGTTGTCAATTCCTGAAATTCCTGATGATACACAACATAGAGTTGGTTTGTACCATGCAACGCTGAATATTCTCATTACCTTGTTCAAGCACTCCCGTGACAATAGCCATATGAGGTGTGTAGAAAACAGGTTCAGAGCATTCAAGCTATCAGTCAATGTAGAGATCGACCACATACCATATCCTGCTATTAATGTATCCACATATGTCTTCTACATGACTGCTCAGCACTGGTTTCATAAAGTCCTACGTAGAGTTTTAAGTACCAAATTCACAGGCCCAGCTGAACAGATGATGGTGCAAGTCCATATGGTGGCTCGATGGTCACAGATGACTACTCTTAAAACTGTTCATAAGTTTCCTTACGAGTGTGATTTGAGTTTGATCCTAATACCTGAAGTAAAAAAATGAGATACCCAAGTTCCAAGAAGCGTATGAGAGACCTCATGAAAAAACTGGAGAATGGTTTCCTTATGCCAAGGCTATCAGACACCCTGAAGCCCAGAAGGTGACTTTGGCAGCATTTCCAAACCTGGTGTCAGCAGCCCTGTACCATGCAGCAGAGACAACACCAACTATGAAGAACTATAGAGTAGGGAAACAAATCAAAGGAGGGCTCCCTGAAAGCACACTCAAAAGTGCTTTTGAGTGCAAGCTGTCACACGAAGAGCAGGCAAAAGTCCACTCCTTTCGCGTCACTGGTGAGATGACTGACTGATGAAGTGGCGCAGACACCAACAGAGGCAGAGTTATCCAATGAAGATGATTAAGGAGGTTTTTTTAATTTTAAACCCCATAAACATTCCCCTTGAAACAAGTTGACAAGAAAAACAAACCTAAGAAAGAAACAAAAAATCTGTAGGAGGCAATTTAATAGCTGTTAATTAAACAATGTTCTTTGCATCCATGAAGACATTTAGAAGGGCAGGAGAAGATAGAGCAAAAGATAAAACTGATACTTTTTTAATGACTAGAATATGGAAGAGAGATTAAGTGTCATGGAATAGAAACAAACGGTGCTACAGACTTTCAACAGAGGATTATAGATTGTATAATGACAAGATCAGGCAAGAGTTGCTTGCTACCTGTTGACCTTAACCTTGAAGATAAATTTCCATTATGGAAACTAGAAAGAGTGGGAGAGGGAAGAGGTACATTTCAGGGGAAGTTAGAGGAATTGCAAAGATGTAGAGGGGTATTTTTGCTTTTAATATCTTTCTTGATTTAAATAGCACGGCTATATCTTCAATGCTGAGTTAAGATAAATATTTTTTCAATTAAATATTGTAGTATTTTGCAATGGGGAAGCTCATAAAGGGCTGGCCATTATGAGGTTGAGCATGTGGATATGTCATTTTTTAGGGCTTCATGGTGATTCTGAGGGAGTTAAAAGGAAACTCTTCAGGCAGTAATGAGGAGACTTTGAAAACATACTAAGTGTAAGAAGCCAGTCACAGAAGATCACCTATATATGCCTTTGTATTAATATCCAGAATAGGCAGTTTAGGGCTGTGAAGGATGTGATAGGGGATTGATGGTTAAGAGTACAGGTTTATTTTTTTAGGTAATATGTTACAAAATTGAGGGGTCGTTGCCCATCTGAACATACTAAAGCCATCGAATTTTACTTGAAGTAGGATGTGAACTGTTTTGATAAAGCTATTTGGGAAAAAAAAAGTTTGCCCCTCATATTATAATTCTATTCTATTAAACATAAATTATCAGCTTTACCATACAGCAACTTACAGCCTGTTTAGGTAGAGAAATTATAAGGCTAATACATAGACACAGAAAGGGCATTAGGTGACCTAATAAACATTGGGGCATCTTTATGAATATTGGTGATTTTTTGGGGGGGAGTATTTTGTCTAATAAGTAATTGATATGCTATATACATGCAGTTCTACAGATTCTTTGTGAAGACCAGTTTAAGCAAAAACAAAGTACGGATCAATGATACCATGTTTAGGTTTATTCAGAAG